GCCAACCTGAAGTTGTTCCAGCACATATTGAACTTCTTTGGAGAGGATGGGTTGCTGCGTGAGCCTTTGTGGAGATGTTTTTCACTGATGGCCTGGGTAAAATAATTGCAGTACAGATGACTTGGTCATAGCGTGCAAACCTGCTCTCACAAAGTCTGGAAAGAGTGGGTGGTCAAAGTGGCGCAAAGAAAAGCGAGCAGAGAGGAAAGTTATCAAGAAAGAGCAGTGAAGCTTGCACTCCATGTGTGCCGGAAACCAACAGAACCATAAGGACATTGGCAGTTGGAGTGTTGCCGCTGGGCTTCAGGCCGCGCCCTTAGACGCAGTACGCAAGTATCTGGAAGAGGCCGATATTGACAGCCAGTGACGCAGGGGGACTTCAGGTTCATGAAAAAGAGATGGAAGTCTGTAGTCAGGATAGTCTTTGATGTGAACCTGCAGAAAAACAGAGCAGTTGCTGCGCTGCCGTCGAAACCCAAGATCTGTTGTCTCAAGCGACTTCAAAAAAGCACGGCTTTTCTGTGCTCGCTTGCCGTATATGGAAGCCAAATTCTCTACGCTTTGAAGAGTTGGACTGGGTCCATATCTTCATCGACTGCCCCCCTGTGCGACTGCTTGACTGATATGCTGTCCAGCCAGGAATGAACCACCTTGAAAGAGATATCCAAAGAGAACGAACCTAGGTTGATTGGATGCTAGCGGAAGCGACCAGACCAAATCTTTGCTAGCCGAAACTGATTGAGGCATACATACAAGTTTAGTAAGTGTTTATTGTATTCCGACACATGCATGTACACCTCAAAACATTCGAGTTTAGTGATATATTCTGATCTCACTTCTGATCTCATGTCATTGATTAATTAGGCTTCAGCTTGGATATGTCGTCCAACAAACATTGTGTGTGATGAGTTGATGTTTATTAGAAAGTCAAGAAGCGAAAGGGTGCTCCAAAGCTTCATTTGTGGGCAGGTGCTTCTGAAATTTCCGCAAAACCACAATCCAAGATTGCATTGCAAGGCTAGATCTGCTAGTTTCGTCATCCGTGCAGGCAAACTCGGTCATTGGACCTGATCTAGCGCAAGAAAGTCCAATTGTGTTTGAAGCCATGGATTGGTTGACCAGTTTTGGAAATCTCCTGTACTTGTTGGCTGCAGAACAGCTCATATCAACCTCCCCCACCTAACACTCAGCGCTTCTCAAATGGACACGCTTCAATGTCGCCATTGTAGGCTTCGTCCACTTGCAAGCAACCAGTCACAGGACCACTGGTGGGCGACACAGCGGCAAACTCCTCAACATATTGCCGCACTGCCAGTTTCAACTTGTTGAAATGCGGACGCCTCCAAAAAAATGTGACCACGAGAAAAGCCGCTGATCAAGCTGAAGTGCGAAGAGCTCACGATTGACCCCTGAACCTGGAAGCCGCACAAAAAGTTGCAAATCTGTTTGTTTGAGGAAGTCGCTTTCTTTTGCGTCTGCTTTCAATTTCAATTTTTGATTCTTCTATGCAACTGCTTCTAGCTTCCGAAACACTTGCATCTGCCATAGGCTTTCTGACACTGTGATTGAATTTACTGGTGGATGACGCAGACGCCTTGTGGGGGTCAGATCTTGTCCTTCGTTTGCGGGTTAACTATCAACCCACACTTGGAGATGTTTCAGAAAAGATTTGGATTGATTGTTGAGTTGAGGGTGTTTTTGATAATGTCGGCGTGAGTGAGACAATTGAGTCATTAGCTGGAACCGCCCAATGAGAGACTTTAAACTAAACTTTAAGGGGAAGGTATGCCCGCCTTTGCTAGTGCTATCACCAAGTGCGGACCGACTGCGGTACGCCCTCCAGAATCATCCGGGCGATGGAAAGAATGATCATGAAAACAGCGACCGAGCGGGTCCATCCGACAGAGACAGAGACGGATTCAGCAAGCGCCAACCTGAAGTTGTTCCAGCGCACATTGAACTTCTTTGGAGAGGATGGGTTGCTTCGTGAGCCTTTGTGGAGGACTTTTCAACAACTTTTTTCTGCGGCTTTCAAGTTCAGGGGTCAATCGTGAGCTCTTCGCATTCAAGCTTGACGGCAAATTTTTCTTGTTGTCACATTTCTTGCAGGCATCCACAAACAAGTTGAAACTGGCAGTGTGGCAATACGCTGAGGAGTTTGCCGTTGTGCCGCCCACCAGTGGTCCTGTGACTGGTTGCTTGCCACTGGACGAAGCCTACCACCGTGAGCTTAAGGAAATGCACATGGGTGTTCGCCTGGCATTGAAGTGTGTCCATTCGAAAAGCGCTGAATGTTAGGTGGGGGAGGTTGATATGAGCTGTGCTGATGCCAACAAGTACAGGAGATTTCCAAAACTGGTCAACCAATCCATGGCTTCAAACACAATTGAACTTTCTTGCGCTAGAACAGGTCCAATGACCGAGTTTGCCTGCACGGATGACGAAACTAGCAGATCTAGCCTTGCAATGCAATCTTGGATTGTGGTTTTGCAGAAATTTCAGAAGCACCTGCCCCAGGAAAGTGGACAAATGAAGCTTTGGAGCACCCTTTCGCTTCTTGACTTTCTAATAAACATCAAATCATCACACACAATGTTTGTTGGACTACATATCCAAACTGAAGCCTAATTAATCAATGACATGAGATCATAATATATCACTAAACTCGAATGTTTTGAGGTGTACATGCATGTGTCGGAAGTTTACTAAACTTCTATGTATGCCTCAATCAGTTTCGGCTAGCAAAGATTTGGTCTGGTCGCTTCCGCTAGCATCCAATCAACCTAGGTTCGTTCTGATTGGATATCTCTTTCCGTGGTTCGTTCTCTTTGGATATCTCTTTCACGGTGGTTCATTCCGGGCTGGACAGCATATCAGTCAAGCAGTCACAAAGGGGTCAGCCGATGAATATATGGACCCAGCCCAGCTCTTCAAAGCGTAAAGGAATGGGCTTGCGTATGCAGCAAGTGAGCACACAAGAGGGGCTCCGTTTCTGCGCAGGTTCACAAACAAATCAAGGACTATCCTGGCTACAGACTCCAGACTTCCAGTGTTTTTCACGAACGTTGCTGAGCCATGCAAACCATGCATAGCCTTCGCAGCGTCCTTCGTTGAAACGAATTTCGGAGACAACAGATCTTGGGTTTCGACGCTGTTTTTCTGCAGGTTCACAAACAAATCAAAGACTATCCTGACTACAGACTTCCATCTCTTTTTCATGAACGTTGCCGAGCCACGCATAGCCTTCGTAGTGTCCTTCATTGAAGCAAATTTAAGGTTTAATACTGCACTGTGGCGCAGCTTTTCAGGGACTTGCAAGGCATTGCAAGGTGCAGGCACCGCTCCGAGATTTCAAGCGAGAGCTGAGTTCTTGCTGGGTCACGCGCACCTCTGTTCACTCGTTATAGGCCCCGAATCATTTAGCTTTCGTGTGGCTGTCGCGTCATCGAGAGCTTGAGGCCTAGTGCGTGCGTAATATGGATGTTGTCTCTGCTGCTTTCCAAAACGGTGGTTGCTACAGCATTCCTGCTCCACGCGCGATGAAGAAGGCTAGGAACTGATGGCAACGCAAAGATTTGTAGCCGCTTGCGTCGCAACATTGATGGTGGATGGAGCTTGGATGTGCAAAATCCTGAAGTCCCCCTGCGTCACTGGCTGTCAATATCGGCCTCTTCCAGGCCACAAGTTTTGCAGACTACATGTGGATGACGCAGGCGCCTTGCGGGGGTCAGATCTTATCCTTCGTTTGTGGGTTATATCAACAGGACATAAATCAAGCAGCTTGCATTCTTGCCTCAACCTGCAAGCGAGCGCGTCGCGCTCTAAATTTTTTGCGTTTCGAGCGTGCAATGATGAGTATCCTGCGCTTCTTGCAAGCGTTCAGCAAGTTGCCCGTTCAAGACGATTCGTTTGCCAGACCATCACAGGCCGAATGCTTTCGCTGCTCAACGGTGATGTGCCAGACTGGCTTCGCGTTCAGCACGCCCAGAATTTGCCGAGCCTCAAGTCAAAGAATGTGGGTTCACGCCCCGCCTTGGGGAACTCGCCTCATTCAGTCAGGTGGAGCAGAAGGCAATGGCTGCAGTTCGGGAATGCCAAATCATCGCAGCTGCAAGCTTCCTTTTCTTCCCTGCTGAACTCGCACAGTTTCAGGCATTCAGAAAGGCCTTTGAGTCAGAGATGAACGCGCAGGAGCGTGCATCGTTTGCCCTAGCCCTATACAGATAACTTGCCCCATGTGTTCTACGATTGCGCGTGCGCGCATCACTTCATCCACACTGGCCACCAGAACCGGGAAATTGGCAGTTGAACCGGCCAACCGGGAGACCGCCGGTTCAGCCGGCCAACCGACAACCGCCGGTTGAACCTTTAAGGTTTCCCGGTTCAACCGGCCAAGCAATCAACCAACCGGGGGCCACCAGCAGCCGGAGACACACGGAGCCGACGGGAACTCCACACTCTGCCTTGGGATAGAATATACTGAAGAATTGAAGAACCATTATTTTACTATCACGACTTTAATGGCTTATATGTTTCTATACATTTTTCTACTTCAAAGCCAGCTTAACCAGTTTAAAATGGTGATTGAAGGTCAGGTGAAATAGTAAAAACAAAGTGGAACACCACTAGGCTGAACTCTGGTGTGACTCTGAGTCCAAGTGTATGATTTATGTTTGGGGAAATTCCGATTTGGATGAGTTGTGGCCAATTATATGTCACCATGCGCACCAGGTTTCACGAGTGAGACGTCACTGGTTGTACCAGGCACACAGGCTTAGATACACAAAAGTTGGTTCCCAATGCAAGTGAAAGCAAAGTTATACTTGATGTAGCTGTAGATGTGTCACCAAGAAGTGGATCACTATACATAGGTGAAGAGAATTGCATTCATTTTGCATGCATGCCGAAAGCTGTGGTGCCACTTGACCAGACCCCCACACACCGAAAAATAACGGCCGCATGGTGGTGGCACATCCCGTTCGTGCACCGGGTCGTGGCAGGTGGCATCTTGAAGGCTCTTTTGACACAAGGAGGTGTCGGAAAGCAGAAAGAATGGTGGGCCATCCTGGAGGCTGAGGACCGTTGTATCCAGGGGGTTCCTGTATGGACCCGTGTCAGTTGCGGAAGCACCGTTTTTTTTTGGGTCTTGCAAAAAATGACGTGCTCGCACCAAGCCAGGTATGCGGGAACTTCGGGTCATTTCCAGTGATTCCCACCCGCCACTAGGGGGTAGCTATTGACCCACGGCCGTGGACCACGGGTGCTAGGACGGACAGACGCCTTTGAGCGTGGCACAGCTGCCCATGCGACTGCTGCTGAGACCTCACTGTTTGGATGTGTGGTCGGGGCCTCGGTGGGTTCTTGCCGCCGTTTCATTGGGTACCTCCTAGTAGCGTCCTTGCCTTGCTCCTAGTAATAAGGCCAGGAGCCCCTAGTAGCGTCCTTGTTACTAGTAGCGATGCCAGGAGCCCCTAGTAGCGTCCTTCCTCAAGGCACATGTCAGTGCCGCTTTTGGTATAAAGTATCTCAAATCTCAGAGTTCTTGTCGCATGTTTCACACGATCGCCTACGTAGCTAATCATTACAAGTTACAAGTTGTTTGTGTTTTGTTTTGTGTGTTTTTTCTTTGGCTCGTGAAGGCTAATTATTCAAGACTTGCGTGTTTTTCGCCACACCAGAGCCCCTGACTGATTGAAAAACTTGAAGAATGACATCCTATAGACTCCTGTTCACTTCCCGTCTCCTCCCTACACACCGGCTGCACAAAAACACCACCGAGTCTGCCCCTGGATGCCACAAGGTCCACCCTGCTGCGCCACTGGACGGCTCCTAACCTGGACACCTCGCTCCGCACGGTCCTCGAACAGAAGGGCGACCCAAGCTGCGCCAGCGGGGCCGGTTGGACGCCGTTGATCCTTTGCGCCATGGCAGACAGGCGGGCAGTTGGACGTCGCGTCGCGTACTGTCGTGTGCGGCACCAGAGGCTCGTGCCGTTGATTTGTCATGTTCATTTTTCGGGAACCCGCCGTTGGGGTGGTATTCTTGTGGGTGGAGTTGAAAACATGTTGGGTGAACTCACATACCGCATCACGTGCCCCATGTTGGTGTGTGTCTTGCAAAACCAGGACGCAGGGCCCCGCGATCAGAGTTTTCTAGACCTTCGACGTTGAACGAGGTTCAAGCTTGGTTCAGGTCTTGACATGTCGCTTGGTTCAGGTCTCCATCGATATAGGTCTCCTGGTGCCATGACCCACGGGCTTTTGGTGTCGCCATACTGGCATCATTCACCAGGTACTTGTCGCCGTTGCGTGGAATCTGTCGCCAGGGGAGATCTTTGTCAGCTGCTCCTCCAGTTTGGCGCCGATCCTTTCCAGGCGCCGACCTGATCAACGATCCGCCCCACCCGTTTTCCGAGCGTAGGGAGACGAGTCAAGGAGGAGCGTGTCAATTAAGTCGATGGTCATTAGGGGGGATCCTCGTTGGCGTTGAAGAGGCGCTACTAGTACTAGGAGCAAGGACGCTAGTAGGGGCTCCTGGCCTTACTACTAGGAGCAAGGACGCTACTACAAGAGGATATGTATTCGGTTCCAAACGAAACCTCAAGCTTCTGTCGGACTCCAAGAGGACGTCTTCAGAGGGCATTCGAGTCATCCTATAGTCATCATAGCAAGCTGAAGACAAATGCAGAAGACCCTTCAGCTTATGTACAAGTCGCGATCTCCTTCCGGACTTGCCGTGTGCCTGCGCCGGCATGGCAGATGCTGCAACCTCTAGTCTTGCTTGAGCAAAAACATCAAAGAACCACCTAGCTGAGCTGCTTCTTCAAAGTGACTCAACTTGTTCCCCCAGGGTGGAGGTCAAAGCAAGCGTTTGCTCCCACGCAGTCAGTCTATCATCCCGTCTCGGTCGCGAGGCGGGTCCTCGTGGCCGCAGTGCTCTTCTTTGGGCCGACTGGTCGGGGGGCCTCGATTGGCCGACCGGCGTCGATTGGCCACGCGGAACAAAGCGAAAGAGATCCGAACCACGGCATCAAGGTCGGATGGAGGAGTGAAAGAGGTACCCAGCTCGTTCCTTTCTTTTGGGGGGGATGTTCAGCGCCACACGCGGACCAAAAACAGGACAGCACCTCAATGCTTGGCCTTCTTGGCGCTGGAATTCTTTCATTCCTGAACTCTAGGGCCTACTCTTTAAAGACCTGGTTTTCCCAAGCAAAAACGGTGTCTGTAATGTACAAAGATGTTCATGGGTTGGAGAGCCACTGGACTGAAGGGAAGGATATGCATGGATATATGTACAGAGGGAGTTGGCAAAGATCACAGCCTGGTGGACGTTGCATGCCTCCCAGACAAAACCATGCAGAAGCATCACCAGGATGCCGCCGAACTTAGATGTTGTTTGAATGTCACCATCAAACAGTTTGTGCAAACAGTCTGACAAAGATCGCAGTCATGATTGATGATCTTGGTATGAAACTCCTACACAACTGGATCAGAAATGATCAGAATCTCCAGCCCTATCATGTTTTTTTTGAATGGCCCCTCAGGTCCGGATTCCGCATCGGGCCGCCATTTCTCCAGGTATCAAGCCTCAAAAGCCTTGGCTGTCCTGAAGGAGCAGTCTTCGTGGTTGTTCTTTTCTTGAAAAGTGGATGGCATCCTGCAGTAAAGGGGATCACCAAAACCTTTTTGGGAGTGGGGGCACCCCGCCACTAAACCAAACAAGAACAGGTAGACAAAGGTGGACCAAGGGAGAGGTTTTCTGGAGGCGTACATCGCGGCGGCCCTCAAGCTCTGGAGTACGGGTGGATTTCTGTGATTTGTTTGGAACTCGGTGAGTCCCCAAATTCTTGGCAAAGATGTCTGAATGGTTTCCCGCGAGCCGCAATTCCAAAGAAACTTGGACTGGAAGAAACCAGCAAATGCGCTGCAAACTGTTTCTTGAAAGAAGTCACCTGGCAATGGTGGGGATCAGTTTTAGGTTCAGAAGAGAGGAGATGTTGCAAAGTGAACATGCAGCAGCACCATGGCACTGGGTTGGCCGGCAGTCGGACCCTAATTCGAGGAAATGTGATCCATGAATTATAGGGATCGATATGGGCTTGCAGCAAGATCGATGACCTCCCAACCACTATTGACTCATTGGTTTTGGAATGAGCTGGAATGGCTACATTACCGGGGACGAGCAATTGAGTCCGTTCCCTTTCTTGCAATGTATCATGCTGTATTTTGAATGGATTTGATATCCCATAATCAGGTATCGGTATGTGTGGTACAGAAAAATTGCTCCATCAAAAGTAATTACACTCCCTGGAATTATCATGGAAGTCGAACACGACCTGTTGGATGACCATTGTCCTCTACAAGTATATCGGTCGTTTCCCACTTTCTGCTTCCAGGGAGGGAGTGTATCACGAAGAGTCAAAGACCCTCTATCGGTCGTTTCCAACAAGGCAAACTACTAGCGTGGCACTTGTTACTGCTTGCTTCTTGTTACTACTAGTAAGGCACCTGTTACTACTAGCGTGGCACTTGTTACTACTTGCAAACCCCTCTCCATCACAAGAACAGCTTCTCCACTTTTCGTTGTTTTCACATGCTCGTAGGCTGAGAAGCGTGAGAAGCGGGATGACCGGGAAGGTCTCAAAAGGCTGCAGCAAGGATTGAAGGACGTGGGGCCACACGGGCGAAAAGAAGGATTTCTTTCGCAGGGAACGAGTTGTTTATTGTTTTTCGCGCGGAAGGGTGTGGAAGGATGTGGTGGAAGAGTTGCCGGTACCGCGAATGTGGGTTAGTGGGTTGCGGAAGGGACGGTGCTGTGGGCAGTTCGGAGCGTTTCACTTGCTGTTGATGAGACGAATTTGGTGGAACAGCCTTACAGAAAGGAAGGTATAGTCTTCCAGTTGCAGGTGTCCATGCCATCCACTTCCATCTTCGTTGAGCAGAGGTAGATAGAGGGTTCCGCAAAAAACTATGCCACTTTCAAATGACTGCCTGGTTCTTCCGTTACCCGACCAAGTCTCCCTGGATCGAAAATTGGAAGGTCACTGAAGATAGGCTGGCATCTTAAGATTGGCTGGGACGTTTTAGTTCGGTCACCTGGGAGTCTCAGGAGTTGCATGGGAAGTCTCTGGAGTCGTCGGTCCACCAGTCGGTTGAAGCTGGGACACCCAAAACGGCGACATCGAAGCCGGAGCAGTCCACTGCGTGGTGCTCAAATAGTATGGAACATGAGGGAAGGAATACGTAGCATTCTTGCACTTCCTGTAATGGCCATGGAGTGAAAACCACCTGTTTGTAGAGGAAACATGGTCATCCAAGGGGTCTATTTTCTGCTGTTCTAGTTCCATATAGTTCCATGATTGTTTCAAGGAATGACAACTGAAGTTTCTGAACTGATCCAGCAACTCACCAACAGTCACCACCAGTCACGCCCAACAGAACCGACCGAAGCAATTCAGCTAGCCAGGATGAGCTGGCCTCGCCCATTGTGACGCCCTTGCCTGCGGACGAGTTGGTGGCAGCCATGAACTTCCCAGGCGATGCATTCGGTCGGCATGGTGAGGTGGCAGGTGTTTCGACTCAAAGAATGTCACACAAATCACACACCATCCCACACTCATAAAAAAACAAGGAGCGAATGGAATTGTCGCTTAATGATACTTTATGTATATTATACCAATAATTCCAACAACGCTTTGCAGACGAACATGGAGCCTGAATACCACTGACTATGACGCCAGATCTCTTCGAGGCCTTTCCTTTGCTGAGTTGGTGGAACATCAGCTGCAGCGGCAAGCGGAGGTTTGGGAGACCTCCACCAGCTCGGGGCCGAGCAACTGGGCATCAAGTGATTGGAGGGAACAAAGGCCGGGGGAGCTGGATCTCACACCCCGATCAGCAGGCAGGGCCCTGAGGTGGAAATGGAGGGGGTATGTTTCTTCCCCTGGCTGGAGGCCACCGCTAGTAGGTTGGAAGTCATCGCTTCTAGGTTGGGGATGTGTGGGTTGATGTGGGTTGGATGATTTTTGCCGTTACATTACATCCTACAGAAGCCTGCCCCTTCCTCCAACGTGTCACTCAGCATCACAGCATCCTTTCCAGTGCATCATACATGTTGTCCCAGCACTTGGTGTGCCAGACAGCTCTTTGACGTTCATGGGTGCGATTCTATCGCCAAAAACATAGCCTATCATAGCCTTGTTCAGTAGTTGATTGTTTTACGTGGCAGGAGCAGCAACGACCAAGCAGAGAGGCTTGATGCCAGTTGAGACTGTGACGTGAAGAGACACTCAAAGCGAAATCGTTCGTTCTGTGCTATAGGCTATATACATAATACCTTAATTGGCCTCAGACCAACCCAACTGGAAGCCTTGACCATCCCCAAGTGATAAGAAACAGGGAATGCCCTGCGAAAGTTGTAAGTCTTTTTGCGATTGACTTGGGGATCGGACGCATGTCAAGTTTGCCACATGCCGGGAAGGCCGTTCTGGAGTGACAGTGCACGTCGGAGTTTCGGTTTCGTGATCTAACAAAAGGAATCATGTTCCCTCCCGTTCCACCGCAAAGAACCGCAATTGTTTGTAGTAGAAACAATAAGCTACTAGGAACAAGTGCATCGCTACTAGTAACAAGTGCCTTACTAGTAGTAACAAGAAGCGAACGTAGAAACAATAAGCTACTAGTAACCGATGCCGGTGGTCCAGCTAACCGTCGTAGCCCTTCGGTGGTGCCAGTGGGATTGGGCCGAGTCTTCGTCGATCTGCAGGTAAGTTGTGGGCAGTTGGTGAAGAGCCTGAAGGGGACGCCAACAGCACGGAGTCGTTGCAGGAGATCCTGAACCAGGCGATGTGTTCTGCTCTTTTTTCAGATACTTAAAGATTTGACACGGCGCGACTGCAACTTCTTTTCAATTACCAAGCGACGTCACTGGTTCGTAATGTCAACAGAATTGGCATTCTTGTATGATTTCATGCCCTGAGATTCTTGCTTTTTGTGCTCAAAAAGCATTGAAGGTCATGAAGATATCTGGGAGAATCCGCCCTTCCATGATGACTTAACAGTTGGGACTCGAAGAAGCTGAGAATCCAAGCGGGGTCCTGCTTGGTCATGTTCTATTTGCCAACTGGCTGCGGCTCAAAAACGATTCAACTAGTAATTAAGGCCCCACAAGATCTTGTGGCACACCTGCGCATGCCCAGCATCCTTCAGGTGGATCTGGGCCCTGTCGGCCACTTCGACAGTATGAAATCCCTGGTGGCAGCGGCCCGGCTCCTTGTTCAAGCGAAGATTGCAGGAGGAGACACCACGACGTCGAGTCGTCGCGTGAACAGACCCGAAGACCGGTTGGGTTGGGTTGTCTAAGGCAAGGCATGGTCTGAAGCCTTTGGTTGCCGTTTCAGATGGTTGAGGATCGCCTATTTGTGCTTTTGGTTCCAGCAATCAGCGACATATCATGGCTATGTTGTAGATGTACCATTTTTGCATAGAAGAGACAATAGCAGGGAGTGCACAAAGGGTTCACTGGCGCCATTCCTGACAAGCTTAGAGGGACTGGATGCCGATGGCTTGGATGATTCGATGATTCCCAGACACTCCATGTATGGCATATATAAATCCCTACATTGACCCCTGGAACCACCCCAACGTAGGAAAATATGGCATACATGGAGTGTTTGGGATTAGGATTTCTCCCGACGTCTTCGGGGAAGCATTTGCTCCCTGCCGAGCCTCGCAGTCTTTTTTTCGCGGAAGAGCAGTGGTGAGGACGACCTCTGACAACCTCTGAACCCCCCGTTGGAGCAACATGTTGCTTTTAAACTCAACCACACAAGAGCAATGGGCAGAAATTCCGGACCAAACAAGAACTGGCTGTTCCAGGGTGGGGTAGCTGGGCGTCAGGAGCTCCTGCCGACAGTGCGAATGGCGCTTTGGCGCTCTACGTCTTGACGCTCTTGGATGCGAAAGCACGAGAGCGGATCAACCAGAAGTGGCAGTCTGAGGCGCTGGGCCAGAAGACACGTCGTCAGACACGTTCATGAGAACGATAGTATCTTTGGGGGGAATTACCATGCAGGTGGGAGGTCTGAAACCAAACTCCGCGACGAGCATTTGACTCCGAAATCTTACCTCGCTCACCCCACTTGGCCATTTCGTTGCAACAGCCCCCCCCCCGCCCTTTCCTGGAAAGCCTGCCACCGCAATGAGTTCCCGAACGTGGCTTCTACCAGCCTAGCCAATGGCTACGCCCGCGGAGCGTCACACGGCGCGCCAGGTCTGGGCGAAAACGTTGCTGAGCTCCTCGGGCCTGGCGTGGCAACAACTCCCCGCCGAGCGTTCCGCGCCTCGCTTTCGACCGACGTGGAGCAACGACGTCGGAAGAACAGCGGACGTCGCGTCTTTCGTTCTGGTTGATGTGAGTGTGGAGTGGAGTGGTTTAAGCAAGGTTTGGCCTTTCAACTTCAGTCTGATGTCTAAAGTGTTCAAAACGTTTACTGAAGCTAAAAAAGCAAGAGTTGTGACAGTTCTACTCTTCCAAAGACCCAAGGAAGCAAGAGCTTGTAAACGTTTTTTTTCAAGACCCTGGACGCAAAGTGGATTATATATACGCTATACTGGCATTGAAGGAAGTGGATGATAGTTGTGACACGGGTCCACGGACATGCAGACACCAGAAAACTACGCAGTTGTCACGCTCTTCGCCTGCAATCGTGTTGGATCCTGTTAGATCTCGTGATCTAGGTCTTACTCAACAACAAGAACTGTGCAATACGTGGAGTAAAATAAGTGACCCTCCCTGCAATTTCCCCATGGTTTCGTGGAGTAAAAGCCGCTGGAAAGACCATGGAATCCAAACAACAAAAACAGGGGTCATCCACTTCAATCAATGCATATCAATGCATGTATTTTGTCTTGTTTGGAGGCAGGGTCAACTCCATGTCCAGTTTGCACTTGCCTACCAGGACAAAAAACGGTCGGCAGATGACCCCTCCACTAAAAAATTGATTGGAGGGGTGACCCACGAATTAACTTTTATCAATTAATTGTGTTTTTCTCCGAAAATCTATCAACAATCTTAAGTCGGATAAAACATATATTAATTGGCATCGTCCCGGTGTACCTTGGATCAAGCTATAGTCATGTCTACTTGAGAAATAATCAAAAGGTGGTGGAGAGGTCGCACACCCCCCTCAATTAATTATCACAGAGGGTAGGGTCGGGGCAAGCGAGAGAGAGAGAGAGGAACCAAAGTAACTAAGGACGTCGATGCGAGTTTAAGAATATTCAGGGTCTAACTATTGTTCTATTTCATGTCGGCAGCGTACCCCCTTAAACCCCCTTCACTTCTTTTCGGTGGTATTCATAGACACGCCCAAACCGAGGGCCTGGTATAGGTTCCTGAGCCCATCCGCATGTTCTGTTCCTCTCATCGACCTAGGTCGTCTTCCGGGCGGTTCGACTGGAAGGAGACCTTTCATCCTACAGGACAGGGTGACCAGCAGGGGGGGTCAAAAGCAGGTGAAAACCATCGAAAACCAGGATCATCCGTGATTTGATTTTCCGTCCGCTACGAACGTAACAAGAAGCTACTAGTGGCTCCTGGCATCGCTACGAACGGAGCGATCGGACGCTACGAACGGGGCTCCTGGCCGCTCCTACGAACGGAGCATTCGGACGCTACGAACGCAACAAGAGGACGCTACGACCTTTTAAGCATCCCCCGGCACCAGGCCCAGCCGGTGTCATAAGATGCCCCCTTAGAGGCTGAAGTGGCCCAAAAAATTGGAAGCCAAAATGGAACCAGTCTGTAGGCTATAGTGAATTGATGTGAATTGCTTTGGCAGATGGATTTTGTGTTGGGAACCCAGCTGCTTGGTGGTGGAATGTATGCTTTACGTGCTTTACAATGCTTTTGGCTTTTGTTGAAGGTTCTCTCGGTGTTTGTCTGTGTGTGTGTGTGTTTTTCTAATGCAATCCTTTTTGGAGGGGTGTTTTGCGTGAACTGAGGGTGAAGCATAGTGGCTTAGCGATGTCAGCTTGGGTCATCTTCTTTTCCACTTCTTCCTGGAGTCTCAGTACCGAAGAAAATGGACACAAGGACCTGTTTTATATCAGGGTAATTAATTACTTGAAGTCGGGTCCAGGTTTGGACTAGTCAAGTCAAGTCAAGTCTTGACTTGCACGAGTCAGGTCGCCAGACTGTGCTCATTGAACATGATTCAACCTGCAAGAGCAGCATGTTATTTGCCCATGGGGTTGGATCCCGTAAAAAAAAAAATACAATTCTGTTCCTCGATGGAAGTATTGAGTCTTGAGGGTTGATTCATGTCAATTGCGATGAAAATAAAAGGCACACCTCAACCCTCACAGGCCCGGAGAAAAAAGAAAAAATGGTGCATTTTCTTGATGCTTGGGGTAGAGGAAAGCACATTCTTGTTTGTTTCAATAGTTTATCCTCCCCACTGGAGTTGGTCATACGTTCGTTCACACGACTCAAGGGGGTGTTTTAATTGGTTTAATTGGGTCCAAATAGACCTGAAGGGCTCCGTTTCCCTCTGAACCGTCATCATCCACTGGGTTTTTCGGGCACAAGGGATACATGATGCATCCAAGAAAAAATGGTTCTGAGCTTCATGCAACTGCTTCTTGCAAGCAGTGCAAAACTCCATGTTCATTTATATGGGGGTGGGTCAAAGCCGAGGTACCCTGGTTGACCAGAGAAGGTGAACAGAATAGACAACCTACCAGGGTGCACAGGGTTCCGTGTCTTGACCCACCAGCCATATCCACACCTTGAAATCAAGAGTTCCCTGCCGCACGTTGACCTCGTCCAAGAACCATAGAAGCCGTGTCACGGTTTCTCACCCAAAACCCAGTTCTCCACCTTTCTCACACCTCTCTCCACAGATGTTGGTTTCAAAAAGGCATCGAAAAAACACCAACCGCCCTCGTTGACCCGCCCTGATCCGGTCTGCTCTACCCACCAAAAAGGGATCAGCAAAGCCTTTTGGGGTGGCTGGGGGACATAAACCAACTACCTGGACCCTCCCAGGGGTGGAGATCCGCAAACTGATCAAGTATTGTGTAGCCATGTGTAGCCCCAAAATTCTAACCACCATTCAGTTGATAGGCTGTACCATTGTGGCACCGTGATGAGGGTGGAGGCATGGATTAGGTAGAGCATGTTTCGATGGGTTTCGTGGAGTGAAGACCACTGGTTTGGTCAGACCGGTCTAAACCAAGTCTTCGGAGCCGACCATGACCATCCACGTAGGCCCACCATGGTCTTCCGTGTGACACAGTCATCCCTTCCCTCATTCCTCCGTTCACCCCCCCCTGTTGGTAGAAGAACATCATGAAACCTTTTGTCTTTCCATCTTCCATGGAGCTTCCCATGTCAAATCACATCGTCCACGTGACCACCACCACCAGCACCACCAGCATCATCCTTTCATGAACCCCATCCTCCAGGGAGCTCCAACTCGGTTCCCGATGACCTTTGCCGCAGTTCTCGCTCGTATCGCCCGGTCGTCGCTGCGCACGTCGCCTCGTTGCCCCGTCGGTCGGAGGCGTCCCTTGGAGCTCTTCGCTCCACGGCGCCCCGTGAGCTGGCCATGCCCCAGCTACGGCACACTGGATCGGCGTGTGGCCATGGCCGCTTAACAGCCAAACGCGGTTGAGGAAAGGCTCTTAAGACAGGGAAAGACGTTAAGATCTGGAAGATCGTTCGTTGGCCCTAGCCAATGTGTTGGTCAAGGTGATCTTACAGGTGTTCTTTTATCCAACACCCTTGGTCCAGTCAAGATTGTTTAAGTTTTTGGGGGCTTCAACTGGTCGACGCGGGAGGAAAGAGTTGTTTTATGCCCAGCCACATGGGATCACATGGGCCACATCGGCCACTTCACTCTTCACTGGTGGTTTCGATTGATCTCTAGGTCGCCTAGGTGGTTCGCTTGGTCCTCCTTCCTGAGGCTTACCTCGAAGATTGGAAAGATGCGGCCGGGCGACGCAGGAAAAACGGCGGGCCACCACACCAAGGTCAGTTCCATTCGTGACCACTTTTTAAGTGGTGAAGTCATGTCAGTCTGTAACCGGGGCAGATGTTGGAAGGTTAAATCATGTTAAATCCGGTCTTGGGTTTTCTCTGTGCATGTGCCAAAAAACATCCAAGAACCATGAACAATGTTTTTAATTTGGTGGAATAGTCCAGAAGGCATCTTTACCTGGATAGAAGCCATCCACAGTTTTGCAGCCACATCTGCACACTTCTACGATGGACCGTGGACTCATTTCGAGCTAGATCCAGTTGTAGAAGCTGAAAAGGTAAGAACTGGCGATCGGGTCGATTTCGGTTGCGATTGGTCGACTTGAGTTACTTTCTGTTACTTTACTTAGGGACTTGAGTTACTTGTTGTTTTTTCCTCGATTCATCGATGTCTGACCATGAAACCTTCGCACTTGAGGCCGCTGGGTCGCCCAGTCGGGTTGCACTGAGCTGCGCCAGTTCCCCATCAAAGACCGAAAACGTCGAATTCTCGGGCCCTGAAACGGTGGGTCGCTGCGTCGCTGGCTCGGTTTGGGTGATGCATGATCCACTGATTATCACATCCGTTCGACGTTGGTCCACGGCACGTAGCACGCCAGCTGTCGCCCGACCTCGGATCCACGAACCGGTGGTATACGGTATCACACAGCTTCACCTGCCACGCCGATCTAGGCCATTGTGTTCAAGATCTACTGCTTGACGGCTCGGAGGAGTCACGTATAGTCACGGAGAGGTCGGTGGAAGTGGGTTTGGGCTCCTCAGGTGAGATTGTTTCCCCAAACAGTGTGGACACACGGTGTGGGGTTCTTACGTTAAGGGTTAGACCTCACACACCGTTTGGGGGTTCTTGCCGGGATAATTACATTTTCCGAACTGGGTGAATCCTCTTCTGGTGAATTGGTTTTCCCCGGCTCCTGGAGCAGCAAATCCAAGTCACGTGTGTGAGTGTGTGTGCGCTGATGTGCGCACGGGGGGACCGTGGGGCTTGTATGATGGGATCCAAAACAGACTCTTGCGCAGTAGAAGGAGACTCTGTGGAATTAAAGATCATCCTGAAAAAAATCAAGTAATAACATCTAATAACCATCAATCATCGCTTAGGGTCCAGAAGGTCAAATCAGGTCGAAGCTTGATGAATAGAGAGGAAGGCTTCGATTAACACAGTAACAGCGGTGCGATCACAAACTGGGTGTTGATCACATACAACGGTGCGATGGTTCCTCCCATCTACAGCTGGGTGTTGGCTCGTTGGGTTGGCTCGTTGGTCACATCACCAGCTTGGCCCATGTCCAGAGGAACTGGTGTGAGTTTCCACGGTGCAACGGGTGTGCTCCCTCGGCCAAATCATGGGTTCCTACAGATTCAACGATCCAGTAAAACCTGGTCCTTGGCGATTCATATGACCAGCACCACCAGTCAAATGAGATCAGTTCCTTCCCTGGCCTCGGAGGAGGAACCCTCCCATACTCACCACCCCAATGATACCGACCTTTTGGCCCTCGACGATCGTGCGCTTGACCGACTGAAGTTTGGAAATTCATCCGAGTCACTGGGTCTAGTCAGATCATCTCAGGAAAAATGCACGCCTGGGATGGACCTGGGAGCATGTTTCCAGCGAGTCTGTGTGAATTTCTTGACCACCACCCATGGGTTCTTCCTGACTTGCCGAAGAGGCAGTGAATGGCATTGGATAAAGTGGATGAGGTGATCTCAATGGAAAATCCACCAAGTCATCGCATTCAACCCAGCCAACCAGCCAGCCACACACTACCCATCCAACATGTGTTTCTTTTGGCCGTTTGTGATATCATTCGTGCGCCTCATGAACAGCTTTCTTGGAAGTGATGTTCAGAGCTGTAAGATCTAGAATCCATGTGTTGTGGCTGTCAAAATGGAGCATGCCCGATCCAGTAATTAAAACCCATGGCGTGCTGATTGGATTCAGACCTCACGAATTGCTGGTGATCAATTCCACAAGCAGGTGTACTCCTTGGTTGCCCTTCGGGTTGAGGCCCTGCTTCAAAACAAGCGCGCAGTTGCTTCCACGACTCCCGGACAAGCTGGGATGGTTGGACTGCTTGGACCCCCCCCTTGCCGGTGCGCCACCGCGTTCCACCGCGAGACCTCCGGACCGCGCGAGACGGGCCACGCAGGATCAACGAATTCTCCTGGTTGGCTGGAGAAGATCAGAGCTCGGTGTGGTGCTGAGACCAGGAGAAGACCACAGGAGCGAGGAAATCAGGACCCAACCTCCGCGGTTCGTGACCTTTTTGTAGCAACATGTAGCAACTAAACCTGTTACAGGCCTGAGTAAGTGACTTCAAACCATGGAGATCAAAAGGTCAAATTGAGAAATCATGGTACATTTGTAATAGTTTTTGTTTAGTGACAGACTCTGAGGTTACAAGATGGGCTGCTAGGACCAATCACTTGCTTGCAGGAACAAAAATCAATAGCCGAATGAAGCGAAATCCGAGACCTTCGCTATCCTCAATGCCGTGCTTCTCAGGACAAGTCCCACAAAATCGATGAAACAGCTTAGAGATCTTTCAGGGGAAACGACTGATTCGATTCCAGTGTTTGGACAAACCTTTTGGACTTTTTGTCCAAAGTGGCCAAGCTGCAACTTGCAAATCCTCGATTTTGGGGTTGCTCCATGTTGCTCCTATCTATGTTAGCGGGTGTGGTGCTAAAGTGCCACCAGTTCCAAGCTTTCCAAGCACTTTTCGAGGCCCTACATGAGTCGCTGATTGCTCCTGGTACCCAGTTCGAGGCGCAGACTGTGTGAAGGGCTGAAGATGTGTGTGGAAAATGGAAGACCCTGAAATTCCAACACCCGTGAACCGTGAGGAATCATACATACCATGCTGTACTATCAGCTTACATACCAATGAACAATCGTTCATACCAATATTTGATAGAAGATCGATGAACATACCCATCAACGGTCCCAAACCGTGAGGACAGTGACCAGGACGGAGGAGAGTATCGGAAACACTTGCCGGCAAGGAAGGAGGTTGTGCCAACAGGCCTCGAATGTTCTGATGTTTGGTATTTTGGTCATTTACGAGGTGCGTCTTTTTTTGCAGACTCACCGGGGCGTCGGCAGTGTAGGCTGTGCTTAGATTGAGTTTAGACCTACCAAAGATCCCTTCTCAATATCCAACAAATGATCTAGCTCAAAACTGCGGGGGGAGGTGGGGAGCGGGCTCAGCCAGCAGTCCAACATAGTCCAACTAAACCTCACTGTCTAGACCTGCCCGGTCACCTGGGCGTTGGCAGTTTGCTCTGTTTTCAAACCGGAGGACCGGTGCGCTGCTGCGGGATGGGTGTTCCGGTCCGCTCCCCTCCGGTCAGTCCAGCGGCCTCTTCGAGCTCACAGACATGGCGCTGCGCCACTGGACCGCGACTGGAGCACATCGACATGTCCTTGCCAAGACGGGAAGAGATGAGACATGAGAAGTGTGCACGGGTATCATAGTAGGTATCATGCACGTATGTTCAGGTTCAGGCATGAGGAATTGGGGAGCTGTGCCCACTTTTGGAGGGAAGTGATCACCAAAACCACCGTTCCTGGCCCAAACAAAAAACCCTTCTAAAGCAGTGTGCCCCAAGCACCGTGAAACCTTCCGGATGTTCCGGCTTCTGAGGTCGGGATGTGACTATGGATGCCACGCTGCGCGGGGAAGAGTTCAATCTCCAAGAAGAGGTGCTGAACGTGCCAAGAGCTGTGTGTGGCGCCGACGACGGAAACGCCTTCCGGCGAACGAGCTGAGTACGTGATGGAAGATCGGACTTCAGTGCATAAACATGGGCGAACCTGATCAAATCATTTCCGGGAGGATCTCGTCAATGGATGCCGTAGTTTTGCCACATCCAGGTAGCTGAACGTGCAATTCGCCAAAAGTCCGAAGGTCTCGCGAGGAGTCCTTTCGCGAACCAAACACCGACAGGTTCAGTTGTTGCCCTTGGCCACCAGTGATTTGCCAGCGCGGCGGGTCCTTGTGATTCTGCAGGAGGCGGGTTGGGCACTAGGGCTGCCGACGGGTTGGGTGGTCCCGTGTTGCCTTGTGCGGCGGATCTGGAGAGATCTGGACTGGGCACATGACCAAGGGATCAGGGGCTTGTGGTTACACAGACTCGAATTAGAGTGGTCAGTGGTCAACAAAGAGATGGAAAACTCCTCGTGTCCTTATGGAATCTCTCAGAATTCCCAATTCTCTGAACCTTCGCATGATCAGGTAGTTCCTGCTGAAGATCTTCGAAAGGCGGCTGAGAACGCATCGGCCACTGTCCGCAACAAGAAGACGGCCAGCTATCTTTGACGCGGTGTGCCATTGTGATCATATTGAACAAGATCATACTAGGACAGTTACTAGGACCGGCATTCAAGCATGAAGATTGACAGTAAGATTGGTGTCTCATTCTAACCCATGACCAAATAAAGCATCAACGAATTATCTGCACAGTTCAACCTGAAGCATCCTCAATATCAGATCGATTGTATAAATTAACAGGAATCCAAAATGGATTCTGAAAAATAGAGCACAAATAAACAATTACTATATATATATATATACAGATCTATCTACATATCTACATAAGTTACAGGGCTGCGTTATTGTATTTAGCGATGAGGATATGATGGTGTTTTTGTTGGTGTGGTGTTGAATGCTCTTTGGCTGTTAGAAAAGAAAAAATAAGTTCTTTTTAAGTCGTTGTTTGCTGGTCTCCTTTTCTTGTCCTCGGCAATTAGACGTTTCCTTTGCACATTTCTCTACCTCAAGGACAAGACGGCGCCTCCTGAGCCATGTTGGTTCCTACCTGAACCTGATCGTTAAATATTGTTTTAGACTTCGTTTAGTGCAGATTCTCTAAATATGAAACTTGCATCCAATAAGCGTTTAATAACCATACAAGCACTTGTGTTAAGTCGTTTGGTCTTGTAGAAAGTCGTTTGGATGTTACGTTTCGATTGGGGTTAGATGTAAGATGACAATATAATTGAAAGAGTATTAGGTTAACAATATTGTTTGGATATTGTTTGCGTTTTTATTGGGGTTAGATGCAAGATGTCACGCTCATTGGATGATAATTTTTGAAATGTTAGTTTAACACTATTGTTTGGAGGTCGAGTATTAGTGGAATATCTTGCGTTTTGATAGTCATGATAATCTTATTCTTACGTTTTGATTGGGTTTCGGTTACTAAAACGCTGCAAACTTCGATATGTATTTAGTTCTTTTTGTGTATAGGGGTAGTGAAGTCTTGATGTATAGCAATTTTGATAAACATATTTCCGTAGAACGTTTATATTGTGTTTTAACAATTATATTTAAGTTAAAAAAATGTTGAAAATATTAATTATTGAGAGTGGGGGATGAGGGGGGGAGATGTGAAAATTTTGATTTTATAAAATTTTGAAGGATTTTATATGGATTTCGTAGAGTGAAGGACAATTTGATGTGATAGTAATAATATGTAGAAAAGTAATGTATAGTTTTATCGTAGATTTTTTTCTTGATAGATATAAACGATTTATATTATTTTCGTAATTTTAATTATTATTTCTTTATTATGGGTTTCTTTGTGTGTTTTTTTTTAAATGGGGGATTTGGCGTAGGTATAGGCTTTGGAAGATTTTTTTGATTTTGGCGTTGTATTTGTTTAAGTGAAGAGTTTTTTATAATTAATGGTATATTATATTTTTTGATGAAATATAAGATTTTGAATATATATTAAAGAGGTTTTATTTAGTAAATGGGTATTGTTTCCGAAATTAATTGAATATTTGTTTTGTAACGGATATATTGATATTTTTGAAGCTTTTGTAAAACGATGCATATATAAAATGTTTTTGGTCGTAAAATATATTTACGCTTTAATATTTGATTTGCTTTAAGGTGGAATTATACATAATCGATGGGACGAAGGTATTTAGAATTTTGTAATAGAGTAAGGCTTTGGTAAGAGTCTTGCGCATAATAGCATTATTCTTTGGTTTATCTATGCAAATTATAGGTGGAATGTATAAATTCTTTGGGTTGATAAGCATAAACTAAGTATTGTTATGAGACTTAATTATACCATTTTTTCGAGGTTAATTTTTGTACTTTGGAATCTCATCGTATACGTATTTGACATGCACCTTGACATGGTTATTCCTTACGATCTTATTTATTTGAACTCGTCGATGCTTGGAAGGAGGAATGATTTGATTATGGAAATGCTTATCATAGACAAAGAATTAGGCAGGTGTTAATTCCTTATTAATGATGATTTCTTTGTATAAATCCAAGATATAAAATTCTTGTAAAACAAACCACTATATGAGGGCGTTAAGCATGTTGAACACGAAACCAATTTGAATTTAAAGGGTGGCCAAAGACTGATTTATACACACATTTAGCAGTACGAGCTGGCACGTAAGTACGAAACTCAAGGGCGGCATGGAATTTCAAGTAATCCATAGAGAAACCAAGCTTGGAATTGAGGAATAGCCCATTATGAACATCCTGGGGCGCCGCCGTGTTGATCTTATTGCCGTGCTCAATGGGGAAGTTTTGACAAGCATCTTCGTTGCAGCGTAGCAAGTATCAAAACCATAACCTTGATATCACGGGCTTTGGACAAAAAACGATGACCACAATGCCAAGCTTTCATATAAATACTGTACACATTTTTTGAGAGAATCCCGACGCCACTAAGAACATCTTTCTGAAATAGAAGAGTTGCACGCAAGACCTGACACTTGTAGAAGCTGAAGTTCGTGGCGTCCACCATAAATCTCAAGTAAGGCAAGGAGACCTGGGCAACCGCAGTGTCGTCGATGATCTGGACGAAGTCCTCCCGCATGGACAAGGCAAAGAAATGCTTTTTCGATACATTATGCACAATGTATTTGCCATCCTGCACAAAGGGCAAATCATAGTGACATAGCTGAACACCAAAGAGACGCAATAACGTATTCCCAAAGGAAATGGTGAAGGGACCATCAGTGTCACATACAACTGGCAAGCCAAGATTTTGAAGAGAAATGACGAGGCAAGCTTCCTTGAACCCAGCGCCACGCATATGTTCCAGAGGAGCATCCTCGTCAGGAGTTTCACCAATACGAGGCATAAGGTCATCATCCTCAGGACGAAGGCCAGGTAGATTGTCTGGGTTCTGAATAGGACTGCGTTGCATACAGGGGCGTTTGGAAAGTCCAATAAAATAGTCCCGGAAAGTGGGGGGCTTCTTGAAAACAAATTTCTCCTGTTTCACTTTGGACAAGGATATCTCCCAATTGATCCGTCCTGTACCTCATTAATACTCCCTAGATGGCTAATCCAAACCACCATACCCTTGCACCGATCCCACATGCCCCACTGCAGAAACCATATTGAAATAATTCATTAGGTTTCCTTTTGCCAAAGATCATGTCGTACAAAAATGTGTTATGAACTCATCATCAGTGAAAGCCTTCAACTTCTTGGCCTCTTCATCGCCGATGCTGCTCACAGAGAGCTGGCAGACATGTAGTGAAGGGGATAGCTTTGAAGAAATCCAAGTCTGCGGTCATTTATATGCATATTTCATTTTTATATGCTTATATTATTTAAAAAAGACACTTTCTTTATGTCAATGGGTCCATTTCTCTGTTTCCAAGGTATAAGGACGATCATGCCTTCTCTGCGCGTGAAACAGAGCAAGATCCAGTCGACGTTGACCACGAGCTGTTCCTATTCTTCAAGCGGACTTCCTGGTGCTGGTTCAGAAAAGGTTTCAAATTAAAGGAGGTTTTGGTGCATCAGGAAACAATGGGAACCTGGATGGTCCTAATGGTTGGCGTCCACCTAATAATGAATCTGGAGGCCAAAATGATGCTCGTGGTGGTGGACCTTGGGAAATGGTGGTTTTCTAGGGGGCTGGCTCGTGGGGGGGGAGGATCACCTGGCTATGGCGGCTTTCCAAATGATTTTCCGGGTGGTGGACCTGGAGGACCTCCGGGCGGTGGCGGTGGTGGTGGATTTCCTGGTGGATCTCCTGATCATGGAATAGGGGGAGCGTATAATCCGCGTTTGGCGTCGAAAATAGCGCATCTAGGAGTGATAATTGTTATCGTGCCTGGGATATTGATGAATATATATGCAGAATTATGGTTATACAATGGGGTTTTCCCAACCTCAGCCAGGGGGGCTCCAGCACCATACTTTGGCTATTGACAAATTTATCCAATGATACGACAATGGTCAGAAAAATTAAAAAAATTGTCCCTGCTTCCTCGTATTGGCAAATATGCATACCGCTGCAGGTGTCTGAACGGAGCAGATGCATTCTCAATAATTTGTTTGCATTGAATTTCAGCTATTATCTTGTCAATTGGCACATCGACCTGAGCTTGAGGTTTCTTGGTTCGATAGAATCCATCCTGCGGTCCGGAATATTGATGATTGGATGGAACCTTTATTTAATCTAAGCGCGATGAAATTTATATATAGATGGATCGATTGAATCAACGGTAAAGTGTTTCCAAACTGGGGTTGGATTTCCTTTGAAATTGATGCTTTATGGCCCGGCAATGCCATCAGCTATTTCCTATTGGCCATAACAAGGAATACAATGATGATCGATGCAGGCACGAACTCCTCAAACCATTACCATTTGGATGTTGTATCTGGGCGGGCCTGACAAAGGGTAAATCTATCAAAATGGTTGAATGGAAAAATCGACTTCCGAAAAATATATCAATTTGGTATCATCACCAAAGGTATCATCAATGGGGGATTAATTGTATTTAAAGTGAATTTGACATCAACCAAAGTATAGGATTTATATAAGCCATGTTCAATAATAAAAATATATTCATCTTTATAATATAATGCAATCAGGTCCTATATCCGAATGAATTGCAAAAATATTTCTCGATCTATATTTTTAAATTTGTTCATTTGAATTATTCATATATAACCTTTCCATATAAAACATCGAATTAAAATTCGCCATCAAAATCAGTATATAATATTTAAATATATATCCTGGGAGTCAAAAACTATAAAAAGAATGGTCTTTAGGGAATTTGAAAGGGAACTTCCTTTGCTTCAGCCGGTCAAAATATAGTGTTTGGATTTCTAGGGTATCGTTAAGAAATTAAATATATATTTCCAAATGTAAACCCTTTTAGCCAAAAATAGAGCAATATCCTTTCAAATATTCCAAAAAATATTAATAGAAGGCAATTTAATCCATATACGATCCAAAAACAGGCAAAATTATATTATTCTATTCTTAAACTAAACAATACATATATTTTAATCTTGCTATACCAAAAAAATGAAGAATGAAAATCAAAATCAATATATATTTAAACAACAAATCAACAATATCATTGTGAAATTCCGTCC